TTGTTAATATGTTGTTATACATGTTTGGTTGATGTTACAATAGATAAGTATAGGTTCTGGACTGATATGTGCAATATATTCACATTTTTCACTGTCAGTAATGGGTTACCACGCACATAGAAGCATTTTTAACTTTCCAGGCACCTTTAGTAACGGGTTACCCATAACTTGTAACTGGTTACCGCGTGAAGTTTTTCAAAATTTTGGTTTGGTCAAGGCATTTATGATTTCCAACATTATTTCCCTCTAATTCTTTTTCCTCTTAAAAGTGTCTTTGACCAAAATTACTTCCCACCACAAATTACTCTTACCAATTTTAATCTCCCTCTAATATTTACTTCACCAAAAGAGTAATTCCCTTCAAAAATTATCTATAAATACTCCCTCATTCTTACATTTTTAACTCATAATACAAACATTCTCTCCATACAAACATTCCCTTTGTCATGGGGCCATCAAGAAAGGTGAAAGGCAAGGCAAAGGCCATTGAAGGAGAATCTCAAAATCAAGAGGAACATGATCCAATCTTGGAATTTCGATTTCGACTTCTCACTCCGGTAAAGAATGGTAATCTCTTATCCTTTCCTTCAACAAGTTTTAGTTTTCCATCAATGTTGGCTAGGCAAGGAGTAGGTGAACTCATCACTGAATATGGAGTTTACTACCCGTATTTGGTTTGTGAATTCTATGCGACTATGAAAATTGGTGTTAGCGGTGTTCTTTTGTCATGGTTAAAAGGGAAGCACATCTTGATGTCAACCACTCAATTTGGGAAAAGCTTGGGTGTTCCCAGTGAAGGCTTACTCATCAAGCATGGGTATACCATTGATGTTGATGCTTACAACCGTACTCCCTACTACTATAGCATCACTCATATCTCTGAAAAATAAATCTTGAACAAGAAGAAGGAAGCATGTTCTACAACAAATCAGTTAAATTTGTATTCCTCCAACCTCACTGTAAGTGACCATATGCTACATTACTTTATTGCTTACATTTTGCTTCATAAGAACTCAAATCACTCTCAAATAAGTGATTTGAGATGCAAGTCTTGTTTGCAATAAAAAATAATATTCAAGTGAATTGGGCATACTTAATCATGAACTATATGGAGAATCTCAAAAATCTGTCCGGTGGACTTCTATAAACTCATTGGGTAACAATATTCTCAAGTTTGGAAAGGTTAGCTTCCGAGGAGAAATAAAAACCAAAATGACTTCAAGAGATTGTGAAATTTTGATTGCGGTGGCAAACAAAAATATGGGCATTTTTAAAGATGAAGATGGATTGTTCAAGCATAGAGAAAAAAGAACTTCCTCCAATCAAGATGCACATCCTCCACCATCCGCATATGACGATGAAATATCAAATGAGATGATTTATCACAAAATTTACTCTATGGAAAATTTCATGATATCAGAATTTCATGATATTTGTCAAGACTTGGCCAACCTTCAAGCTAATCAAGAGGATTCAATGGTTGAGAGTGACGATGAAGAATTCTAAATGCCTTAGTACGTTTGTTTGTTGTTTATATTCTTCCTATGTAATGTCTTTATCTTTTGCATTTTGTATCGTATTTCCTTCCGCATCGTTTATGTAATCAAAGACCTAGTGTCTAGTGTGTTTTTTAAGTATGAATTAACTTTGTGTTTGTATTACAAATTGTGTTACATTTTAATTGTGATTTATATTCTGTTTTATTATAGTCTTTTCCCTGCCCTTTTTGATATTGACAAAGGGGGGAGAAGACATTGTGTGCTTGTGTTTAGTGATGCAAATTTTTTCTCCAGATTTTAAAGCTTCCTCTTTGAAAAAAAAGTCTTCAAAGGATACATAAATTTAGGGGGAGATATCCAACTTAGAGGGAGAATGCACATCACCATGGTACACATACAAATAACACTCAAAGACCTTGATGCACAAGCTACAAATGTCAAATTATTGTCTACATCAAAAAGGGGGAGAATATGATTGCATGCACTCCAATCAAAGTGTTTTGATGAAGACCACCAGACATAAAGTCAAAGAAATATCAAGGCTGTGGAAAAGAAGATGTTCAAGATCATATGCTATTTCAAGATCATTCTATGAAGTCTTCTACAAGTGTACAATCAACTTTCAAGATGAAGATTTATGAAGATTCATCAACAAGTTAGGTACAATTTTTAAATTGAGATTTTTTAAGATGATATAGTGCTCAAAATATACTCTAAAATTTTTACATAAGTGTCATGATCATTTAGAGTAAAACATTTCATGTCCATCACTTAGAAAATAAGTTTTTAATCACTTTCACTCATTGGTAACCGATTACAGAGTTACAGTAACCAGTTACAGGGCTTCGCATAAATAAAAATAAATTATTGGTTCAGTGGTAACCAGTTACAACTTTTAAGTAATCGATTACAGCCACACAGATTTGAAAAATATATATGTTTTCATGTCTGTGTAACCGATTACATCCCTACAGTAACCGATTACTGCTGAAGAAATTTTTTAAATATTTTTTGTTTTACTTGGCTGTTGGGTGATACCTCTTGGGATCCAACCATTGTATCTTTTTACTCATTTGAGGTGTAATGAAAGAGTGCACTTCACATATAAAATTTGTTTGCATTCTGATCATAACACATGACACATTATTCAAACTTTAAAAATTCTTAAGAGTTGTAAAACTTTGAGAATTTACATATTTCATGAAACACTGTGTATAAATTTCATACTCATTATTGTTTCAACATATATTGAGCACTAGATCTGACCATAAACTTCTTATTAAATCTTGTCTTAGTGTTTTGATAATCATAGTGTTATTCAAGAATTGGTCATACTTTGTAAAAATCAGATTTTGTATAAGATTAACCTTGCATTCTAGGATTGTTGGAGCAAGTGTATGCATTAAAGATGATTGTTCTTCTTGCACTTAGTGTTCGAGATCTTAAAGGATTTAAGAGCCTTTGATCTCCCTATAGATTAGATAGTAAGGCACCACTTTTGGTGTGATTAGGCTTGTATAATCATTCTAAACTATAGTGAAATCTCTTCCGTGTTGGCAAGAAGACTGGAGTACTCTCGATCTGTGAGAGGAACCAGTATATATCTGGTGTTCATTTACTTTTCACATTTTATTGTTTTCATCACCATAATTAGAAAAATAAGAATTTTAAAAGAGAAGGCAAAAATTAACCATCACCTAATTCACGCCCCTCTCTTAGGCACATTATTAACTTACAACGAGCTCTTCCATTGTTATCTTTAGGCTATTTTGGTAGCATTCTCGAGCGACCTGTTGGTCTCCTTGAATTATACCGACTCACCCATTAGTAAATGTATATTTTAAGGCCAAATACATGGTGGAAACGAATATCCCTAGGGCATTAATGGTCGGTCACCCAATAATGATATTATACAACAATAAGGCGTGCAAAATAAGGCAGCTAATGTCAATCACCTTGGTGTATGCTCCCTCTCCACATGTGGTTTACAAGGCTACATGGCCCATTATCTATACCTATATCCTTCTGATAATCCCGCTAATGAACCACTGAATATTTTTACGTTGTTATGGTCAAGCTGCCGTTTTTGGAAGGCGTCCTAGAACATGACGTCAAAGGAGCTACCTGGATCTATCAAAACTTGCTTGATATCCTAGTTTCCAGGTTGCACAGTGATGACCAAGGGATCATCATTGTGAGGGTTGATTTTAAGGGCGTCTTCCTCGGAGAAGGTGATGTTAACCCTTGTTTTCTCTAGGCTACTTCTGGGAAATCCAAGGGATATTACATTTGCGGCAAACACTTGCCTCATGTATTTCCTTCGGGAGGATATGAAGTTACTTCCACCGGAGAAACCTCCAACAATGGTGTTTGTCTTGTAAGTTAGAGTTTTATCAACCATCTTCGAAGGGAAGATGGATGGAGTTAAAGTAGGAGTGTGACCCAAGTTTGTTTTATTGGGTGTCGCAGTAGGTGCCACTATAATGGTAAAAAAAATACAGGTGCGCGTGCTCCTTTTGCAAGGGCAGGGGGACTCAGAGGCCTTTGTAGGTATATTACGATGTATGGTGGTTAAAGTTTGCCCCATGACGGCGAGAAGTCTTGTACGGTGGTTTTAGGAGTTTGGTTTACATGATGTGAGAGACTCTGTAGATGAATGATGTACTTAGGTATAAGTGTATGATGGGTGTGATCAGTATGCGTTATGATCAATCCTATTTCTCTTCCGAGGAAGATGTATTTATAGAGGCCTCTAAGGCGCAAGGTTCTCTTAGGAAGGGTCACCATCCACTTAGTTAATATAGACCAGTTGAATTCCCAGTTCTAGGAGAACGCGAGTCAGTTAATGACCATGATATCTCTCTTCTCCAAAAACATCATATTCTTCGTTTCCTATGGCTGGGCCATATGAAGACCTTAGGGCGAGGCGATACCTCCCCTTAAGCGACATGTCATGGTCGCCTCTCCTGGAGCGTCATATAACCATCACCTTAATAAAGTCCTTTTACAAATATAACACTACACCATAAAACTTATTGCTCGACTTACATATAAATATATCTAAACATAAATCATTTTATATTCAACTCAATTTTAGTCATAATCAATTAACAAAAAATCAATTTTTATCACCTTAAAACCAAACACACACCAAATAGCCAAACATAATTCTATAAATATAAAATGAATTATACTTAAAATAAAAGATAAAATAAGAGATACGTTAATAATATAAAATAATTTTACACTGTCAACCAATGAATATCATCTATTGAACTAAATCACCTTTATATTTTAAAAATTATACATTTAATTATTAAACTCACTTTTATATAACTAAGAGTATCCAAACATTAATTATTTTACTTTTATCTTACTTTTAATCATAATTAATTTATTCAAAATTAATTTTTGTGTTGAATTTAAGAAAAGTAGGATAGCAATGTTGAATTACAAATAAAAAATAATAATCTAATAGATATGCACTATCAATACATAGAAAAAAAAAGAACAAAATGATTTACAAGATGACATGAAAGTTAGACTAGTTTGGACAGTCATCCATTTTATGTTCTTTCCTCATCTCACATCAATTACTTTCTTTTGTTTTCCAGAATCACAAAATTCTCCTAGAAATTCACTCCATATCCTTCAACACAGATCCAAAACAGAATACCAAATTCAATACCCATCTTCACCCTCTTTCTACACTATTCTACTTTATCGACTCAAATTCACTCCGATTTTTGTCGCTATTTTACCTCTTTTCTTCTCACTCCACAATCCTCACTGTGCTTCGATTCTAGTAATCTTGATCTTATTTTCATCGATCAAAAATCCAAATCGCTTTTTATCTCTCCTTTTGTTTGGGCTTTTGATTATCGCGGAATCGGGATTACTATAGCCTAAATTTCGGAATTCTCGTTGGATCTAAGATTGTGCTTTGGAATAGATAAAATTACTTGTTTGATGTGTCTAGTGGAGTGGTTTTGTGATTTTGCGAGGATTAGGAGTTTGGGTTTTTGATAATGGATCATGTTATTGGTGGAAAATTCAAACTTGGGAGGAAGATTGGGGGTGGGTCATTTGGAGAGCTTTACTTGGGTATGTATGCATTTTATCTATTGTTTTGGTAGAATTAAGAGGCTTGTTTGTTTTCAATGTTAATTGGGTTTTCTATGCTTTTGTTTCCTTCAGGTGTGAATGTACAAACTGGAGAGGAAGTTGCTGTCAAACTGGTGAGTGCAGTTACTGTCTTCTATAAGTGCTTATGAATGTTTATTCTTGATGTTTTCTATATTTTACTAGTGCATGGATGAGTTTTATATGCTGCACAAGTGATGTATTTAGCATCTTTCTTGTTGTTTCCGTGAAACAACATGCATGTCAACAATTACTAGTTATATTTTTTTACTGGTTAATTGAACTTCAGTTAGGGAAAAACTTACAATTCTTGCATATGCACGGTCCTTTTTCTGTGTTGCTGAGAAGTTGGCTTTAGAAGAAAAGAAACTTTTATGGATAACTATTGAGTTGGAGATTTTGACAACGAAAAACTCAAGGGAGATTGGTAGATCCTTTGTGATGGTGGCTTCTGATAGCAGTGAAAATCTCATAGAGAGTAAAGACATATGAATAAATAGAAAGATCATATGGTTATAGACTAATAGTCTGTGTGATTGGAGACTATTTTAGTAATGATATATAGTGTTCCCATTGTCATACTTTAAGTATTATATTATATGATTATATATTATTATCGGACTATATTTTTATCCATTGGCAAAAAGGGGAAACAGAGAAAACAAGTGGTCTAAGATTTTATTTGTACTATATATCAGTTGACATGCTGGTTCATGCTTCAATATCAATCCAAATCTGTTGGGCCAGCATCTTTTTTTATTAGCTTGACCTCTTAAAAAACTTGTTCAGTGATGATGTCTCAAAGTTCAGTTTCTGTAAAGCATAACATTATCCAGATTTTCATTTCTGTGCTCAATCAGCCTTAGTTTGGACAATTTGTTACCATCTTTTTCAAAGTTAAGCTATTAAGCTATTACCAATTCTTTTTTTTCCTATCTCTTCCTTTGTTTGTCAGGAACCTTCGAAGACCAAGCATCCTCAACTTCACTATGAGTCAAAATTGTACATGCTTCTTCAAGGGGGAAGTAAGTTTCATCTGTTTCTTTTTCTTCCCAATTTATGTTTCTTCAGCCTTTTTTCTCGTTGTCAAGACAGTCATTTGTTTACATTATAGTTACAATTACAAAGTAAAATTAGTAGTCCGTGAGCCTGTCTGATTGATTAGCATGTTCTTTTTTTTTTTTTGAAGCGGGTATTCCCCATTTAAAATGGTATGGAGTTGAGGGTGACTACAATGCCATGGCGATTGACCTCCTCGGACCAAGTCTTGAAGACTTGTTTAACTATTGCAATAGGAAATTGTCTCTGAAAACAGTTCTGATGCTTGCAGATCAGCTAGTAAGTATGGCTTCCATTTCAGCAACATTATACATTTTACAGAAAGCTGCTGTACTTTTAGTTTTAATCAAATTGTTTCACTTAGCTAAACAGAGTTGAGTACATGCACTCCCGGGGTTTCCTGCACCGTGATATAAAGCCTGACAACTTTTTAATGGGCTTAGGCCGCAAAGCAAATCAGGTATCTTCGCGTATCCTGCACTGATTTGAATTCAACCTTATCTGGTTGGGCGTTTATGCACGACTACTGCTCACCTGCATACTGAACTAGTAGTTGTGACTTGTGATCTAAAGTTAAGATTATGATAAAAGCTCTTTCATTTAAATTAGTGGATTTATATCATTCATCAAATTAGTATCCGGAAGTTGTTTGTGTTGGTTAGATTTTTAAGCGTGGGGTTTAATGATATTTAGTAGAGCAAATGCAGGAGGGATAAACATGGACATTTCTCATTATTCATTAGCTAATTCTGCCACTTTTGTCTCATAAAATTCTGCCACTTTTGTTGTTCTCTTGCCAATTCTCAAAAAACACTAACAGATGCAATGAAATGGTGTCTATGTACATTCACTAAATCTATTATGGATCAAGATAACTTGTCCCCCTTTTCTCGCTGTCTTCCTTAATCCCCCACTCAAAACATAACACCTAAACAAAAGAAATCTCTTTACAACTCCTTAAAATTGTGGTTGGACCTAACTCAACCTTACAAAACCAAATTGTAAGGTGAGGATTGCCCCCACTTATAAACACAACACACTCTAAGCAATGTGAGACTAACTCCACCCCTTCAAACCCAACGCAATGTAGGTGTTGGAGGCTGTGATGAAGGAAACACAGCTGCCGCAATTAGGAAACTAGGGGCGGACCGCAATGAAGGCAACACAGCTGCCGCAATTTGGCGACTAGGGGCGGACCACAATGAAGGCTGAATTTCCAACACACCCTCTCACACTTGGGCCTGAATGAGCCCGAAGCGTGCACGATGTGGGAAGCCCATCAAGTGATCTAGGTAGACTTTGATACCACTCAACCTTACAAAACCAGTTTGTAAGGTGAGAATTTCCCCCACTTATAAACACAACACAAGCCATATCTCTAAGCAATGTGAGACTAAATTCACCCCTTCAAACTCAACACAATGTAGGTGTTGGAGGCTGCAATGAAGGCACCACAACTGCCACAATTAAGCAACTAGGGGCAGATCGCAATGAAGGCAGACTTTCCAACACAACTAGAATTCTCTCTTTTGGTTGTTAAAACTCTTTGTTGAGGTGTTGTTATGTTTTGATTGGGAGGACAGGGAAGGAGATTTGAAAAGTGGACAGAAGATTGCTATCCTTTTACCACAAACACTACAGATGCCTCTAAGCAATGTGGGACTAAATCAACGCCTTCAAACCCAACACAATGAAGGTGTTGGAGGCCGCAATGAATGCAATCCAAATGCCGCAGTTAGGAGACTAGGGGCGGACCACAATGAAGGCGGGATTTCCAACACAACTAGCAATCTCTCTCTTAGTTGTTAAAACTCTTTGTTGAGGTGTTATGTTTTGATTGGGAGGACTGAGAAGCAGATTTGAAAAGTCGCCAGATTGCTATCCTTTTTCTATTATAGGTTTAAGGAATCATAGACCGACACAATAATGTTAATTTGCCAGCTTTGCAAAATACAAAGCCTTTGATCTGATGCGTTTTGCTGCTAACTTACATTTACCATAATTGGTATAACTGATTTTTTAATATTAATGTCTCTAATTTTAGGAGAATTTTCTCTCTGTTGATATTAGCATTTTATCCCTTAAAGCAAGACTCTTTTGTCTTTATTCCCTTTGTTAACATTTTCTCTGGGTTTTCACAAAGTTTCATGTATCACCACTGTTGGATGTTATTTTAGGTCATATGCATTGGCAAATGGCTGAGTTACATAGTTGTCGGTGTTTCTTATCACTTGTCAGCTTTATTATTACAATTACTTTTGGTGGTCTTGTTCAAATGCATACAATATTATTATGTAGTTTTGAAAGTTAGAAACAACATAAATACAGAACAAAGTTTTTATTATTATTATCACCACCACCACCACCACCACCACTATCTTAATATTTAATTAGGTTTATGAACTTAAATTTTTTACTCCTAGTATTTCCTAAAAACCAATTATACACTATCCCAAGCTAATTTAAGGCAGGTTTCATGTAATAAAGCACAGTTTGTTTTTTTCTTTATGTTGCAGTTTGAAATGTTTAATACCAACAACTGAAATTCCGTGCTGATTTTATTTTAAAACATTGCAGGTATACATAATTGATTATGGCCTTGCAAAAAAGTTTCGAGATCTTCACACGCACAAGCATATACCATATAGGTGTGTACCATATTTGATTACTGTAGCATGTGATTATTTCATTCCTTGAGTACACGGTTCTATATTATGTTTCCTTTTTATTGAACTTTACAAAAATTATTGTGTGGTTCCTCCTTGCCTAGTATGTTGTTCGCTTCTGTTTTTGTTTTTTTCCTTTGAAGTTTACTGTTTTTATCTATCTTCCTCCTCATTTAGGTTAAAATAAAATAGTACTTCACGTTCATTTTTTGGATTCCGGTTGTCTTTTGATTACATGATTATTGCTGTGTTGCTGGATTTGGGATAACTGACAGGTTAAGTCTTACTAGGGTATAAATAGGTGTGTGCAACTTGAGTTTTACTACTTTTGAACCTGAATCAGCATCCAAATAATATTCCCGAACTTGAACCTTCTCCTGCTGCCTGCATATGCAAGAAAATCCTCCCCATGTGTCATCATATGAAGCCATCAAGTGTTTGTTTATCTTTGATTTAAAAAAGTAATTATTGTCCTGCACATTTCTGACCTTCCCTTCGTGAATGACCATGGTATTTCTGTTCAGGGAAAACAAAAACCTCACCGGAACTGCCCGGTATGCGAGTGTTAATACCCATCTGGGAGTTGGTGAGTGAGACTATTTTCTGCAGCTACTAATCAATCGGTATTATTAAAGTTATCAAATTTAAGTGAGTGTAAATTTATAAAAGAACCCGTTCTCTTCATTTTTGCAGAACAAAGCAGAAGAGATGATCTAGAATCACTTGGTTATGTGTTCATGTACTTTTTGAGAGGAAGGTTGGTCCCAATGCACCATCTTATTTCTATTATAATCTTTCTCATTTTATTTTAACTTACGTAATTGTTTTCCAGTCTCCCTTGGCAAGGTTTGAGAGCTGGCAATAAAAAACAAAAATATGACAAAATAAGTGAAAAGAAGATGCTGACTCCTATAGAGGTATTATAACCTGCTGGCAAGCAGCTTTTATGTGAATGTTTTGATTATTAGAATACTCATGACGATCTCTAGTTATCTATAATGCAATAAATAGTTTCCAATTTTGTATGTTGCAAAGA